AAGCACGCAGTCACACGTTTGTATACATCAGGTCACACGATTCTTAGAATCCGTGTTTCCAATAACTTCACTGGCAGAAGAAATTGAACTGTGTATTTACACATTTGCTATATAGCATTGTAGAGTACGGTAGCCGGGTTCTCGAAATTTTCGGGAATCTCGACTTTTTCGGGAATCTCGAAATTTTTAGGAACCCGACCCGACCTGACTCGATTTCTTCCCGATATTTTCAAGTTCTCGCACATCCCTAATGCCATATTATCATGCTACGATACTAATTAAAGCGACACACAATACAGTATCTAAGCATGCCAAATGGCTACGAAAACGACGAAACAGAATTGGGGGAAAATCGACCAATGTCGATGTGCAAGGATGTTAAGCCTTCGATATAGGATGAGGAACACCACTGCTGTGTATGCTGCTATCATAGTGTATAAGTGACATTTACTGTAGCCATGAACACCTTTCCACATAACCAAACTATGTACACGCAACACTATTACTCAATAATACCAAAATTATCTAGCCTCAGTAATTACCCGATAAAGCGAAAACGTGTTCAACCATTTTATCGTTTGCACACTTATTTACATATACGACCACAACCAGAATACTACGAACGACATACTGCAAGATAGTGTGCGTGAAACGTACGAGAAACGTAAACTTTTATCAAATATACTTATACACTCTGACAAGTTATAACTGCTGAGTTACCTACAAATATATGCATATTATAATTATAATTACAATAGAATATGAAAAAATTAAAGTTAATTAAATCAATTAACAAGTTAATTAAATTTGACTTAACGATGCCTCCCTTCTGTCATAATATATATAATGTGAACAAAATTTTACGTTTCTCCCTTTTGCATTTATTTGTACAAAGAGCAAAGGACAAACCTTGATAACAGCCTCTGATCCTCCTCTATTCCTGTCCACGTTCTCCTTATTCTCGATCTTGATCTTATCTTGACTTTTACGTCGTGGCGGCACAGGAGGTGACGACGTTGAAAATCCGGTCTCGACACGGTCAGCGTCATTTATCCGTGCATTTATAGTGGCCTCTTCGCGGGAAAAATTCAAACACGGCTCCTCGCGGCGTGTGCTTGCGTTATTTGCCGGTGGACTGAGGGGTGCGGGAGGTGGTGGTCGGTAAGGTGGCGGAACTCGTAAAGGAGAGACCAAAGGGGTAGCTACGTCGGGAGTGCCAATGGGTGACGAGATTTGATCAGGTGTCGTCAGTTCCAAAGAATTTTGACGATACTTCTTCTTCAGAACCAAATATTTTTCACCCTGCACGAACAATTTCCATTACGGTGCATGAACAAACGCAAGTACATACTGCGTTTTGCGAATTTAACATTTAACGATGTTCGAATCAATGCTGGCTTTCCCACATTTTTAATAGGGCGCAAATAAAAAGAATATGACACGCGATATTTGATAAAATACGAAGAAAAAGAAAAAATGTTTTCTAGATAGTCTTATCGTTTCTATCAGTCGCGCGAGGCATTGGAAAAACCGGCAACGTCGCAAAACGCGCAACAAGTCGCTGCTGTCAAGGCGGAAGGAAATTGCTACTTGATGACGTACATACCTCTTCGTTCTTTATGGTAGCCAGGGTGTTTACATACTCCTTGAACCGATTTCGTGCCTCGGCTGCAACGTAAATTTGCACACTATTCACTGGCTGTCGTTAAATCTGACGCCCGGTGTGACGAGTATTAACGTCTGCCCGTGTTTACACGCCGTACACCGTGCAAAATTCAGGTCACACCTTGCGAAAACGAGACAGCCATTCGACTGCGTCGAGCATCGGATTTTCAACGTACCTCGTGTTTCCGGGTCCGTTAGGAATTTCTTAAAGTGCTTCACCACGTCGTGATTGCGAGCAGTGCCACCGTTTTCCAATAAATATTTGCGAATCTCCTCGAGAGACAGTTCACTGGGCGTCGCCATCTTGTCACTACTGGCCAGCGCAGCAGCGCCGCCGTTTCCACTGTTTCGTCGCACTGTCGATAAAAACGACCACTGTGTCGGTACGCGTAATGAATTCAGAGCGTTCTAAAATTAAACCGCGTTCGTGACATTTTTTTGATGCGTTTGGTCGCATTGTGCTCATCTATGTACGCATAGTTTCTTATTGAATTACGTAGACAAAGGACGATTTAGCACGAGGATATTTATTTTCTTATTTTTGGATATTCATGCTAGTTTTTTCATACTGACCTCTACCGTGTTTCAACGCGACCATTGTTGTTGTCAATCAGTTGCTGATTCAAAGGTCTATGTGTGTGCTAAAGAAACAATCAGCTTCCTTCCTAATTTTAACCTTATCCAAATGAGTTCGCAGGTAGCAAGCTATGAGTTCAAGAATGGAAGTCCAATCAAGAGTTCAATCGAGGGTCCATACGCCACGTTACAAGTCAGAGTGCACAAAAGACGTGTCAAAGGTCACAATGAGCAGTTGAGAAATTTACGTGCCCTCCCATATCGGTAACAGTCTACTCTTACGAGTATTTCCGACCACGCTACACTAACTAGGAGCCTAGGACAAAACGACCGCATGCATAATTTTTTTTAAATTCAATATAGCTGACTAGATGTGCGCTTAGTAGGTTAGGTAGTGTACATGGTAGTATTGCAAAGACCTTTCGTCGTATTGTGCGTCATCGGAGCAAGTGAACGATGTCTAATTGCTACTTGAAAATGCAAATAAAAATTACGTATGCGTGAAAATGTATACACGAGGGCAGCATGTAATTTCTTTCTTTAATAATGTACTAACGAGCTGTAATCACATTGCGCCGCAAAAAAAATTGTTAACATCATTATAACGAGTGCAATCATTGCTCCTCATGCCTAACACATAATGGCAGTCAATTTAATTGTATTATAATTGTGTAGGACGCGATGGAATACGTAGCGCGCGATACAACTGCTAGCTCGCATCCCACGTCGCGGTACACGTAAAAAAAAAAAAAAAAAAGCAACGGCCACGCGAAAGCCAATTTTTCACTTCGGAGTCAAATGTATTAACCATCGATGGAACTAGATATTTGATTCTATCCGCGCAAATAGACGATTCGTAAAACCTTTTAGCAGTCCGACGTGTTATATTCCATCGATGCAAACATCCCGCCCGACGAGCCCGTCGCACAAACTAATGCGAATAACCGTGCACCAGCCAGATAGAGATTTAAACACCGCGATCTAAGTGCCAGTATATGCATCGACAACGGCCAATAAAGCGATTGATTTTAATTTTTATTACGTTATCTGATGTGTTTACAAGTTCGAATCAAATCGACCACCATTTATATTGTAACTACATACGTATGTGAAACGTAGAGCTCGGAACTCGCGCAGTAATTCACGTTAACTAGACGATACAGTAAATGCTGCTACATTTAAAACGAAAAGCATCGCAAGCAACCCAAGGGTACCGTTAACATCAGTACCTTACGCCCCAAGGTTATCGTACGTGTAAATTAAAATTATACGTTCTCGATTCCACGTCCATTATTCGACATAAAAGGAACACGCACTCTGGCGTTTTGTTGTAACGAGATATTAAAAAAGATAGGCGACGATACAATCTTATTCTTACAGAGTTAATTTATAACAAGATCGTATAGTCAAACGTCTTAATGGTGTTGATATAATCATCATGGTTCGTACGATGCCTGTCTATAAGAGACAAAGAAGAAAGTCTTGACGATTTGCATAATTCGTATAGTCTTGAACAAGATTATCCAGATAATCGCGAAGTTATAATGAGAACAGATTCTTCACAGCAATGTTTTGTAATGAAGAAAATGGCCTTGCTAATCACCCGCCGTGTGTAAAAATATACACCAGGTATGGGAGGCGAAGGGAGAACGCGAGAAGGGACGAGTATATACGTGCGGCACGCATATGCGTGTCCACGGACAGGAAGCATCGTGGTGCCTTTATAATTAAACCCCTTTTATCGACGATATTCTAATGAAACGGCGAGTAATGATTGAGCTCGACCCGCATAAAACTCCGTAACGGTCAAACGATTCCGCGAGCTAAATAATTCTTCAAGTATTGTTAATGGCCGCTATCGTCCCACCGAAACGGCTGATAGCGTTGTTAAACGCGAGCATGAACGCGCATTAAGCGTATTTTGTAACGCCATTTACAAGGATCGTCACGATCAGAGATCGGCTCGATTAAAATAATTACAAGCGCGAGGAAACGGATTTGTGTGTCTCTGGAGAGAAAAGGGAAAAGGAAAAGGAAAAAAATGGTTTGCAACGCGAAATAACAGTATCAGCCATCTCCAGGAGATGAGATGGTAATCTTTTGACCGCGGTAGCCGGCACGCTGCTGCGTGTTCTTTGATACAATTCTAAGCCCGGCAGGATTGATGCACGAGATTGGCCGTGGTATTTCCGCGAACAAAATGTGTGCACCAAGAGGTCGTCCGGGGGCGAAGCGGTTGCAGCAAGAAGAACGAGCGGCCAAGAACGAGGACAAAGGAATCGCGTCGACGCCCCGTGGCCCCGTAGGTGCATCCACGATATCATCTACCCATGTTCCCCTGCGTTATGCTTATGCTCGTGCATACGTAAAAGATGCGCGATCCTGCAGCCGCTGCAGCGCTTTATCCGCCCGGTGCAAACTGCAAAAGAGTTCGTGTGATCTACCGCCCAGTGATATGTCGCCGCTGGGATTCCGACGAGAATCGCAAGCTTCTTTTCTTCCCTCCCTCGCCCTCCTCTACAGTTCTCTCGACCCGTTTGTTCTCGCGCCATTTTAATTAATTCCTCGACAATGCAACAGGGGAATGCTTTTTTATTGTACACGTTTATCCGAGCGTGTACAAGAATTCATTATGTAATGTATGGTTTCCGCCAACCTCCTTTACTTTCGTCCAATGCGAAACGTTACTTTGGACGCACGCTCGCTTCTTTGTAACCGTGAATCCTGCTCGTATATAACGCGTGCATTTCATTAATGTCAAACATTTCGAGGACGAGTTCGTTCGGACGACGGGGCGCGTTTCTATTCGAAAAATCCTCAACAACTCTCCTCGAAGCGAGGACAACTAAATGACAATAAAAACTAGTCTATCACTGGCCATTGTAACTACTTTCTACAACCTCACACCATTCATGAACACCACACGCCCTGTACCTTTCGGTTTCCTTGAAACGAAACGAAATCGCCAAGCAGATCGACGTGTTGTGTTCGCATAATCGACACCACTCGCGGAGGTACAACCGCGATAAAGCGGCTGCGTTTTCCTCTTTTAGCTTCTTTTTCAAATGGAATCTTCTTCCTGTTGTGGTTTACCGGAATGTGTGTATTTTGCAGCGGAGAGAACGGAATCGCGGGACGAGAGCATCAGCGCCGGTACGCTGGTTTTTTTTTTTGCCAAAGAATCGCCGAGTGAACGTGGCGAGTTACTCGCGTGTATACACGCACGAGCGAATGAATAAACGCGAAAGGAGGAGGCGCAAATGCGCTCGCGTCGCATCTTCGCTGGCAAAAAAAAAAAAAAAAAAAAACGGCATCTACATCATACTGTCCTCTCCACGGATGGCAAGCAACGACCGATGTGTAACAGTGAATTCGACCTGAACCCGATGACAGACTTCGCGCTCTCTATCGTTTTTGCCATATAAAGGGTCGCAATGGCATCGCGTATCCGACAGCCAGCGACTTATATATTCGTCCATAATTGGAGTGACTGCACTCATTCGGATTGGCCGCGATATAAAGCATCCCGTATAAAGAGCGTACTTTAGCAAGTTTCTTGCGCGGTTTTTAGTGGCCATACCTTTGGTGGTCTCGTTAGAAGGACAGTGGGAGGTCCGCGGGAAAAACGGCAATAACGAACAACAAAGCGAGAGCGCGTATCTAGTCGAAGTCGTCGTTTCGATCCTCTAAAAACCGTGTTTCGTGATGGCAAAAAAGAGACGAAGCCGGTGATCGAACGTCACGTCCGTCCAGATCGATTCCGCGCAATTATTACGATATTATACGCTGCATTATACATTAAGGCCCGGTCAATCAGTTCTGAAACAGTTATCGCGATTAATGTACAGAGGTAACGAGCCGGTAACTCCGCGTTCGAGGAATAAATTTTCGTTTCCGGAGCCACGAAACAGACGCGTCGCCACGCTGAAGACACAGTATATAATGCATCGAGCTTCCTTTCGATCGCTACGTACAGCACGCGGCGCGCAGCCAACGTAAAACATTTCGTTGAACAGAGTTATGGGCTCTAATGAGTCGAGGGGTTAAAGCGCGAGTCTCGATCCCCACGGCAAAAGAAGAGAGCTAAAACCCTATCGGACCGTTCAATCTATCCTGACTACCGTTTACCACGGCATCGTTTAAAGTGGCCACAGGTGCTCGCCCGTATATACGCTCGTTCCACGTACCAAAAAAA